TTACGCCGTATCGAACCCGACTTCCCGATGTTCAAATTCAAATTCAAATGTTTATTTCTCTGTAAAGATTACAATGTGAGGTTTACATATTATAAATTACTAATTTCAAAGAGGGTCACTATCATGCCTAGCATGTTGATAAATTAGACACATGTGCAACTCTTGGGTATCTTTATTGAGGAAACGTTTCGCCACACAGTGGTTTCATCAGTCCATACAAAGGAGAAGCGTGAAGAACAGGAGAATGAGGTAAACTTAATACTTGGGAATTCTTCGCTTCCCTAACCCTTGGGCACGATCTACTTCCACATTGGACAAATGTGGCACCACCTACGACTGCTGCACCTCTCCTGCCTATGGTATATAAGCCACTTCTCCGCTGATATGCGATATTCTATTCAAGATTGATGGACTGACCACATCGACTCAAGGTTGAGGGACTGATTACCTCATTCTCCTCCTGTTCTTCACGATTCTCCTTTGTATGGACTGATGAAGCCACTGTGTGGCGAAACGTTTCCTCAATAAAGATACCCAAGAGTTGAAGATTGAGACACTTATGCAGCATATGGGAATCTTTATTCAGGAAACGTTTCGCCACAGAGTGGCTTCATCAGTCCAATACAAAGAGGAAGGCGTAAGGAGAGGAGGAGAATGAGGTAATCAGTCCCTCAACCTGGAGTCGATGTGTTCAGTCCATCAATCTTGTAGAATGTACAGCATAGGGCCGTAGACGTGGCTTATATACTGTAGTGAGGTGACGTGAAGCTGCATAAGTGTCTCAATCTTCAACTTGTCGGTTTTTCAAACCATTCATCACATACCCAAGAGTTGCACATGTTGTGCAAGACAGGTATACAATACCGACAAGACGAAAGTTAAGACACTTGTGCAACATCTGGTTATCTTTATTGTAGACGTTTCGCCATCCAGTGGCTTTATCAATACAGATTCTTTGGACATAATAAGAAAACAGAAGAACTATATACAAAAGATGAGGTAATCAGTCCCTCAGCCTTGGAGGTGGTGTTTATAGCACCGTGGTTGTAGAGATTCTGAAGCCGAGAACAGAACAGAGGGCTCACAGGTAAGAGCCCACTAGGGGCGAGGGGCAAGTGGGGAGAGGGTGAAGAAGATAGTTGGGGAGAGGAAAAAATCTTAAGAAGGAGGAAAAGTGTCAGGTCTATACCAAACTGCTAATCAATGAAAACATAATATTCAGCAGTATCACTCTCGTGAGCATATCAATTTGCAATGACTGGACACGGCACAGGTACAGGTTACTGTAAAAAGGCGACGCAAACGCACGTCGCAAGCACTTCAGCTCAAAACGCACAAAGACACAGCTCTATGACAATGGCACTTTTAAGTTGTTGGAATAGTTAGGCTAAATAAGTCAGGTAGTTTATTTGTATTGAGGTGGAGGTGCCGGGTCGTACAACGTTTGAAAGAGATTTACATCATTGTAAGGATATCTGAGAGTATCTGCTAAGTATATAAATAACAAAAAAAAAGGCACGATACCGTGACTGGAACGATACACAAATAACCCGCACATAAAAGAGAGAAGCTTACGACGGCGTTTCGGTCCGTAAAGACTGTCTTTGTTGTGGACGTTTCGCCATCCAGTGCAAAGTTTATATTTTAATCCTTCATGCCAAACAGTGTCAAAAGCTTTCTCTACATCTTTGGCGACAAGGGTGGAGGTACAGTTCTGGGCCTTATTGATACGTACATAATCCAGGATTATATTCAAAACGTCTTGGGTAGAACATTGTTGTCGGAAACCGAATTGTCTTTCAGTAAGCAAGTTATTTGTCTCTAGGTGAGTCCTGAGTCGCATATTTACAAGTCGTTCAAAGGTCTTAGTAGAGTATGAACATCAGCTACAGAAAAAGGAGAGTTTAGAGGATGCGTGGAGGATAGTGTGTTTAGGTTTATGAATGGATCATTGGTTAAGTCGTCATGATTAGATACCCATCGCTCTATGTCTAATGTATGTGCTATGACAGCTTGGTCTGGTGGATGTGGGTGGAAGATGTGTTCCCATATGTCTTTGAAAATATGTACAGCTTCAGCAGGGTCAGAGATCTGTCTGTTGTTGTGATTAATGTGTCTGAAGCTTGTGGATGGAGGGGTGCCTATAAGTCTCCGAATAGATGACCAGAATGCTTTGGGATCTCTTGTACGCTGGACATCTGTTGTGTTTATGATTGATTGCCAATGTCGGGCATGGTCATCATCTAGGCTATGGATGATATGAGTACGTAAGATAGTTAGGTCCCATCGGATGATATTTAGTCTGTTTTGGTTTGCTAGGAAACGATGTCTGTAACAGGTGAGCAGTCTTTTTGCTCTTTCTGAAGGGCGGAAAGAGTAACGTACTTTGTGGTGTGTCATGGGAACAGCCTCTGCAGCGGCTTGGGTAATTGATTGTTGAATTCGTTGAATTTGTGTGTCTATGTCTGATACTGGCCTATTGTCATAGTTGTGTGTGAGATCAAGAGTGTTTAGGCGTTGTTTGAACAGATCCCAAATCCGCCTGAGAGTAAGCTGGAGAGGGACGAACTGGAATGAGTATAGGATTTGAGGAAATATGGAAAATGATAGGAAGTGGTAATCCAGAGAGGGGTTTGGTGTTGTATAGTGGAAGCGTTTACTGCTCTGTTTGAAAAAATTTTATCTGGGTATTATAATGGTCCATATATAATGGTACTTAGTGGAGTGGAGTGACTTTCTTAGTTTCTTTTTTTTTGAAATACAACGTTACTGTGAATTTCATTAACCGAGTTACCAGCGGTCGAAATATACAAAAACGAGAAGCAATTTTATTTTAAAAAAAGCGCCTTCCCCCAAAAATTTGCCCCAGTCAACTATATGTTAATTAGCATTATTGGGTGGAGGGGGGAAAAAAAAAATAGAGAAGCTAGATACAGCGATTGAAAAAAAAGGGGTGGGGGCTCGACCGTTCGCATTGTAGGAGTGCCAGCAGTCAGGGGCTCTTCAACACGAATTAACTTTTGTATCAATCAAATCACATATTACTGGGTAATAATTTATAGATCCTTCATGTGTTAGCCAAAATCACCCCCAGTATGGTTTAAAAAATAATGACCCTGATCGACAGATAGACTGGTCCAAAACCCTTTCTGGTCCGAACCCTTGACTGGTCCCAACCCTTGATGGTCCGAAAAACCCGGATGGTTTCAAAAAGGTTTCGTTTGGCACCACCGCAGGTTATTAAAAGAATATTCAAGAGGTTTTGTAAATTGCAGTAAATAACCCTTCAAATCATTAGAAGCTGGTGTAGTCTGTGGGCATAAACAAACGGGCTTCCCCAAAGCATAAATTTCATTTTGGGGAAATTGGGGTCACGCCCCTTGGCAATTCCAAGAAATGCTACAAGCAGTATTAAAACAGGGGAAATGTTTTTTGGGTTTTTTCCCAAAAGAATAATCTGTGCTAAAATCACAAGGGGATAAAAAAAGGTCAAATCAAAACTGTTTATAGAAAACTTTGGGAAATTTCTAAACAGATGGGAAAAATAAAAAAATCCGGGTGAAAGGTACTGCCCTTTATATGGGCCCTGTAGTCAAAAAACTGTAAGGCTGGGGATGATTCCCGGTAGCAGTAAATGGGGGTGATAGGTGTCCTGGGGGACAGTAAAAGGGGCTGGAGGTGCTGTCCTGGGAGACAGTAATGGTGAAGCGGAGGGCTGTCCTGGAGACAGTAAGGTGAAGCTGGAGATGCTGTCCTGGGAGAAGTAATGGGGGGAAATGGAGATGTGTCCTGGGAACAGTAATGGTGAAGTGGAGATTTTGTCCCGGTGTCGGGGAATTATACCAGGAAGGAAACATAAAAATGCCCTCATAGGGGACAGGGCCATAGAGGGAAACAAGTGTAGCAAAGATAAGAAAAACCAATTTTGAAACAGAAAACCGCAGAAATAGCAAACAAGGGGACTCCACAGCAATAGGAGGATATATTCCCAAAAAAAACAACTGGTGGGAGCTCCATTGTGGTGCTGGGGGGATAGAAGTAAACAGGGAAACATCACCAACGGGGAATACGTCCAAAACCCCAAGCAAAGGAAACCAAGCCTTGCACATACATCACTCGGTATTGCGGCATGGGAAATTGAAAAAACAGAGGGGACTGCAAAACTATGACCACCTAGGAAATGCCATGCCCATAGACAACAGGAAAAGCAAACCCCTTTCCTGTAAGCTTTTTCACCCTAAAACGTGTCCCTTTTCCCATACAGAAAGACTGTGCTATAATTTAAAAATTGCCAGGCATCCCATTAAAGGGGGAAAAAAGATACAAAACATCCGGCCATGGGAAAACCGGGGACCCCACCACTCAAGGGGGAGGGGTTTTTTAGGCCAGGAAGGAAAAAAACTGGAAGGAAATGGCAGAAATCGTCACCAAATCCATCATTCCTGGAGGGGAAACCCACAGTGATGGCCCCCACTCCAAACCCAACAGATACAGATAAATGCCAAAAAAAAAAATCCCCCCCCCAGTACCAACAATACCACCACCCCGATAACATTTCTTTGCAAAATACAGGGTCTAAAGCCAGCAACAAACAACAAAAAACCTTTCATCCCTGGACTGCTTTTCAAGGGAAAGGGAATGTTGTGGCTTTCACTGAGACCCAATAAAGGAACTTGGCAAGAAATTGGATCCCAGGTTACAACCATACAGATGTGGGGCAGATGAACAGGGGAAAAAAGGGGGGGGGTTGGCCCTTCATTGCAGAGTCACTTTTTGCACAGAAATGCTAAATGCCCAAAAGATGTAGTGGAAGTTTTAGCGTAAAGGGGGAAACCCAAACCTAGTCTTTGGATAGTCTACAAGCCTCCGGATGAACATCCCCCGCAATTCCAGGAAAAGCTGTTAAAAATTGACCACGTTGGAAAAACCCCCCCGCTCCTGCACCAACTCTTGCTCCCGGGGGATTTCAACTTAAGGCACCCATAAGGGGAAAATAGCAA